CTACCTTCTTGAAACTCCTTTTCACAAAACACTAAAGGGTTTTGAAAAACAAAAAGTATAGAAGGATAAAACTCACAAAGGAAAAGAAAATGGAAAGAAGAGGTAACTGTGGGTATGAGATTGTAGGAACCAGTTAAATGATAGAGTACGGAGTCAGAGAGTTCACTGGCTCTGCAGAAAAGACCTGCTGGTGTCTGGTGTGGGTTCTCCTAGGTCCCTGTCTAGTCAGCTCATTGTGGAACTCCGTTCAGTGTGTCTAACTTCATTTGGATAGCGCGTCATGCCAGACCTGAGGACAGGTAAAAGAAAATAGATTGTGTAGGGAGTAGAAAAGAGCTAGAAAACACAAAAACACGATAGACCACAGATGAATGTAATACTGCATCCACTGAATAAGAACATGGCCAAGGAGGAAAAGAGAGAAAAAACAAGAATTACTGCATCGGCCCATAAAAAACCATGAATTTCTTGGTTGAATGACCTGTTGAATTAAAACCGAAACGCCATACCACTTAGTGAAATTTCAGACTGCCTGGACTAGTCATTTAGCACAGCACGGATATTTATGGAGAATGTTGGAACAATTAACGATGGCTCCATAGAAAGTTGAGCAAACACACACAAAGGAACAATTCCAACATAAAACATAGTACCAGAAAAGTAATTATAACATATTTCTTGGCTCAGTGGAAAGCAATATTTGACTCCCAGCTCTGCTTTTAGTTGCCTGAGGGACCTTGGCAAATAATGTGGTCTCCGGAGGTCTGTGTTTCTTGTGCCTGCTGTAACAAGTGATCATAGCCGTGGTGGCTCAGAACAACACACGTTTGTTTTCTTACAGTTCTGAGGTGAGAAATCCAGTTGTACTGACTGACTGTATTGAAATAAACCCTCATAGAGCATCATATTATACCATTTATTCCACGTGTGGTATTCATGGTATTTTACCTGTCATTTACTGAGATCAGGCATCCCGTGTATCATACCCATGTGTGTACAGTACATACAGTAGAGAGCAGTCTCAGGTCTCCAGGGTGGCCAGCAGTGAAAGCTGCATTGCGGTATTAGTATTTGAAAATCTATTTTAGGGCACTCTACCTCCCTGCCTGCCTGCCTTCTACCTATTCTGTACTTCAGTTTTTATACTTGGATATGTGATTTAAACCAGATACTGACGTATAAATAGGACAAAAAGAACTCTTTGTTTATTTCAGGGTTCTTGCTGAGAGATGAGAACAGCAAACTCCTTGAGTTTCGCTTCAACATTTTTGTCCCTGAAAAGGGTCACACAGCCTTGCTTGGACATTCCTTTTAAAAGGAATTTGGGAGCCTCCTGCAAACTTCTCATTGTGTTAAAAGTTGCAGAATTTATACCAACTGGGACAAGGCTAATTTATCTAGTAAACTAGTAACTCTAAAGGGCAAAATACAGAAGGCCCCTGCACTTAGGACAGGACTGAGTTGTAACGCGTTGCCGGTCTCCTCCACCTGTGCGTAAATACTTCCTCTGTGAGGCGTCTTGCTTTGCTGCACACGGTCTTGGGCCATCTCGATGCCGAGTGACCTGTCTTACACACAGAGGTGGCTCTGTCACCTGAGGGCCTGTGCTGGTGTCCACGGTGAGCCAGCCCGAAGCCACAGAGGGAGTTATTTTTTTCTACAAAAAAGTCATTTTTTAAAAAAGTTTTGACCTAAATGTGAGGATTTAGAATGTAAAGTAGGAAAAAACAAAAAGAATGTAAAGTAGGCTACTCAGTTATCAGAGTTTTCTCAGTAGGTCACATGAGGGATGACGGAGTTGATATTTATTTCACTGTCTCCAGTCTGTGAGGTAGAAGTAGCCTCCTCTTCCTGGTAAAAAATACTTGATTTTAAACAGATTGAAAACCACATTGTTTAGTGGCTTGGTCATAGTAGGGTTTTGATAGAAGAATTATGCAACCTACTGACTTTATAGGTAATTAGAAGACACAAAAATTTAAAACTTCATTCCAGAAATACAACAGCTGAACAAACGGTAATGGCCAACAGACATCAAGTGAGAGTTTGTCAGAGACTTTCAGCTTGAAGGATTAAAACATGTATTGCAGTTGAAGTTGCTAGCAAATGGGTGCATGTATTGAAAATTCTTGAACTGCACCTAGCACATAATAAACAGACAAGTCCTACGGAATGTTAATATTTTTAAAAAAAATACTCAGCTGTTAACCTTTTTGTTTCTAAACCACTGAATTGTCCATATCCCTTGGAATCTTGTTAGACATGCAGATTTCTGTCCATTCCGGACTGAGTGGATCTGTGATTCTGCTGCTCGAGCTCAGTAAGCAGTCTTTCAACAGCCAACCTTCAGGGATTCCTGTGTGCACTAAGGTTTACACACCACTGTTTGGGAGTTCGACCCAGGAGGCAGACTGAAAACTCCTCTCCAGAGACACTGCTTTGCTTGTTTTGTAATGAGGATTGGACCCAGGGCCCTAAAGCTGAGTTACAGCACCATCTGTCCCCCAACCCTTCATCATCTGGTTTGAGACAGGGTCTCGCTAAGTCACTGGATTGCGCAGGCTGGGCTGAGATTTGCAATCCTCCTGCCTCTGCGTCCCGGAGTGGTAGGATTACAAGTGTGCACCAGCATTTCTCATGCAGCAGAGAAAACTAAACCAGCAGATGCCTGGTGCAAGGGCCACTCCTGTTATCCCAGCTACTCAGGAAACTGAGGCAAGAGGATTGCAAGTGTGAGGCTGGCCTGGGCAGTTTAGCAAGACCGTGTCTCAAAATAAAAAAATAGATGAAAAATGCTGGGGATGTAGCTCACCGCTCCCTGTGACCCTCTCAAAAACCCTAGCAGGTAAGTGATTTTTATGCAGAAATACAAAATAAACCCCATTAGAATTGGCATTCATTTTGTAATGAGAAATATCTGTTTATAAATAAATTGGATAAGATTTGTGGAGAACTAAGCTGACATATCTTTTCTTTCTTTTTGGTACCGGCGATTAAACTCAGGACCTTGTGCTTTCGAGGCAGACGGCACCACTGAGCTAAACCCCCGGCCCCTGCGCTGACATTTCTTTAAAAGCCTTTTTATTCAACAGCCATCTGTTTCTTGTGTGAGGCATAGCCCCCATCATAGAACTCTTGGTCATGTGGGAAATCAAACTGTAAACGGGTACGTTGTTGTAATACAATGCTGTAAATGCTATAATTGAGATATAACTTGGGACTGAGTGCTCAGGCCCGGGAATGTCCCACAGCCTCCACTCAGATTAGGGTTGACCTGGGTCTTAAAGTTGAAGAGACCATTGCCCGGTGGGAGAGAGGACCGTGAGGGGGCTCATGGAGTTTGGTGACAGCACTGCCATGGGAGATAACATCTCTCTTGTGTAAATGAAGAAAGAAAAAGGAAGAAAATGGTCATCCATTTTTATCTCATCGTGGCTTTTGTTAGTCTTTTGTCATAGGAACTGGATGGATAACTGGAGCAACTTGACAGCTCATGCACATTGGGAGTCATCATTGGTGGAACTGATAGAAAAAAGACAGCATTTGTTTTAGCAATGCCTGGTGCCTTCATCATACTGTCAGTATTTTAAAAAGCTAATTTGTTTCAGAGGCTCCCAAAGGTTGGTTGGTTGGTTTGTTTATTTATTAGGTTTTCTGAGACATGGTCTCGCTATGTAGTTCAGACTTCCCTCTAACTTAGGGCAGTCCTCCTGCCTCAGCCTCCTGAGTGCTGGGATTACAGGCATGCCCCATCACAGCTGGCCCGAAGTTTTTATTTTTGTGCTCTCAACACTTATGGGCTTTTTTTTTTTAACACTGCCCTTAGGCCAAGAGAAAAATTGCAGATTTAACAGCTAATCTGGTCCAAATGGCTTAATGACTTAATTCTTGTCTTAATGCTTGTGCCTCTTACACACCGTGCAGCTTCTCAAACCGTGGCGTGGCATCGGATCAGACTGGCGCCCTTTCCTGTTCTGTGCTGACATTTGCAGTGTTTTTCCCCATGGCAACCATGAGAAACTCCGCTTCAGAGAGACAGTGCCATTAGGAAAGCAGTGTGCTCTGATCTCCACACTGAGTTAGCGCAAGCTTGTGGTTCACAGCTGCACGGATGGAAGCATAGTGTGGTCAGTTTGGACACATACCTGTGAAACCACCACGCCACTCAAGATGGTGTGTGCATTCGTCACCCTGTCCTTCAGGCGTCTTCCTCAGCCCTGTCCCTTTCCCCTTCCCCATGTGACCTCTGCTGCTTTGTGACCCATGTAGTATGTGCCTTTTAAAAATGTGGTTTCTTTCAACATGTTCTGAGGTTCATTTGTGTTTAGCATGTATCAGTAGTTCGTTTATTGATTGATTGAGGTATGGGGGATCAAACTCAGGACCTTGTGCTTGTGAGGTAGGCGTGGTGCCACTGAGCTAAATTCCTGGCCCTTTCAATCGTTCTTTTATTGCAGAGCAAGAACTCTTTGAGATAATCAGAGGTTATTATTACCATACTCTAAAATAAATCTGAAATAATTCCTTATTCATCTAACACCCAGTCAGTTACTAAGTTGCCCCTTGCCCGTAAATGTATTTTAGGGTTGGTTTGTCAAATCAGGATGTGTAAAAGATTTAACACGGTAGAAAATGCTTTGAAAAATCACCTTTTATTTCTTGTCCTCCTCCTGTTTACTCTCAATTACTTGGTCATTATCTTAGGTAATGATCTTATTGTGATTATGCAAAAAGATGGGAAGAAACATTTTTTGGCCTAATCTCCCGTACCCTGATAGAGCTCTTCATGTTTGTGTACTGCTAGTTCGTGACCTTATGCAGAATAAAAGTATTTTAAATATGGTTAGAATGAACTCAGGCGGCTAGCAGTCTTAGGAAAGCCCTCTCTAAAGAATGAAGTGTTTCCAGAGACACGGGCCGCGCGATCACACAGCAGAGGGCGTGTTCACACGTTTCCTGTTTTTCTCTGCAGAGACCTGACTCTGGAATTCCCCATTGCCTACGATTTACATCTTGTGTCTATCTTGAGCCCTGATACTACAGGCCAGAAAAGCTATCGATCCTTCAGTGTCTATACTGTCCCTGAAAAAGTGTTTTCTTTTGTTTGTTGTTTTTTGAAACCAGGTCAGTGTAGCCCAGGCTGGCCTTGAACTCATGAATCTCCGGCCTCAGGCACCAGCGTGGCCAGGATCACAGGTGTGTACCCAACACCAGCGGCGGCGAGCCCGTGGCTTGCGAGCCAAGCGCGCAGAGGGGCCCTGCGCATGCTCGAAAGCAGCAGCGGCGCCCGGCGATGACGCCACGAGCCGCGATTCCTCGGCCGCGACCAGTCTTTGCTTTGGGGAGGTGGGTCCAGTGCTCGGGTTTAATCGCAGTGTTAACGTTTTGCGGCAAATAAGTGGGTTTTGGGCTGCAGTTTGGGCACTTGTCTCCAAAAGATTCGCCATCACTGCCCTAGGCCCAGCTAAATGCTGTTGATTTTATACACTGAACACCCCTTAGTCTACTTTCCATTTTTCAGCTGTTAGTTGAATTTGAGTTATCCCTTTTCATTACGACTGCCTTAACTTCTCCTTTCGGGTTTCTCCAATCTGTGTTCTGTCTTTAGCTATCATGGAGTGGCCTTTTAAGCCCTTCAGATTATTTTCCATTGTTCTTGGGAAGATTCATGTCCTTACATTGTATACAGACCCGGTGTGATCTCGTTTGTGTGTAATTCACCGTTTTCATCTTAGCTCCTTCTGCCCGTCCCGGGTCCTAGCAGCACAGTGTACTACTCTCCACTTTTGGACGGGTATGCTCTTTCCATGCATAGGGAAAGAGGACCTGAAAGGGTTTACTTTCGTGTCTCAAAGATGAGATTAGGTGGCACCTCTCCGTCATGGTCTACTCCCAACTCAGCACTACCGTAAATTCTGGTAGAAAAATATTCACTATTTTCAGTTTTACTACCTAGTAACAGACATTATGATAGAAGTAAGCTGAAGTCTTCTGTGAAGTCTTGCGTTTCAGTGTGAGAGTTGTTTCTGGAACCTGTTTCCTCAGTGTGCTGGAGCGGGCCGTGGCCTGAGCACACTGTGGTGACTGCTGTCCCCATGGCTGTCCTGCAGTAATGCAGGTGGAACAAATCCCCTAGTTGGGGGTGGAGGGAGCAGTCTTCTGCCAAGCTCTAGACACAGCCTTCCGGAGGAAGTGGTGCAGATCCAGATCTGTTAGAAGTTGCTTCCGTGGGTTCCCAGGGTAGGGGATAGCAGTGGCTCAGTGGCCCGGAAGTAGTTCTGATCTCCGGCCGACTGCAGTTCCTGCTGGAGGAGGTCCTCCCCCCCTCCCCCCCAGCTGATGAGCCACTCCCCCAAGAGTGTGGCTGGCGAGGCTTTGGAAGGAGTCTGCGGTCCTGCAGTTGTCGCTGACGCACGGACCTTAACTGCTGTGCTTTGCTCCAGCCGGAGAGGCCTCTTCCCTGCTCAGAGCAGGAGTGCCCCCGAAGCTCACCTCTACCCTTTGATCAGGGGCTTACTGGAGGAAAAAACTTATTTGTCCTGCCCAGGTGCTGGGAGAATTGATGTCCTCTGATGGTGAAGATAAACTGAGGTGTGCCTGGACAAACAGCTTCCTATCGAGGCCGATTTAATGGAAATGTAGCAGTACATTGTCAAGAAAAAAGGCCCCTAAAACTGTTAGCATCTTCTTTTGCTGCTTTAACCGTTAAAAAGAGAAGTTAGCATTATCTCATAAGGCACATGTAGGAAATTACATGCTTTATGATCCCAAACCAGAACAGTTTCAGCTCAGTGGTGGTGCACGCCTGTAACCCCAGCACTTAGGAGGCTGAGGCCGGAGGATTGCCACAAGTTCAAGGGCAGACCTGGGCTACATAGTGAGTTCAAGGCAAACCTAAACTACTTAGTGACACTCTGTCTCAAAAACAAAAAACAAAGCAAAGCAGCAACAACAACAAAAAACCAAAAACAGTTCAAAGAAAAGTGTACTGAGTGGAGTGGGTAGAAAGAGATGAAACCCAAATTTGGGAAACAGTGGAGGAGAAGACAGAGTGCGTTGGTGATGGGACTTGCAGATCAAAGGGTCTGTGGGTGAGGTGAGGGGCCGGAAGTCTGGGAGTGAGAGGACCTGAAGCAGCACTGTGCGAGAAAGTAGCAGGAAACCAGGTTCCATGCTAGGACATAGAGCGAAACTTGAAAACCAGACAAAGAGTCTGGACCGCCTCTTGGCTTTCTGCTGCCATTTCTACCTGAAGCTTGTGTATGACCCTATGGAGCAGGGTCCCAGAAGACACATTACATTTTTTACCAGCAGTTAACTAAATCTGGAGAAAGAGTATTTTGTTCCGTAGTGTGTAACATTAATTATATATATTAACATTAGTCTCTAAGACTATAGTTTGTATATAGTCAAGTATTTTTTAATTTTTATTTTTTATTAGCATATGTTTGCAGTACATGGATTACATTCCTCTTGGGGAGTTGGTACATGCATTTCTTTGTTCATCCCCTTCCCTTTCCAGCTATTGGTCCTCTTCCCTTGTGCAAAAGCTCTGTCTCCCTATTTCCTATTAGCTATCTTATACTTCGGCTTTCTCATGTAAGAGAAACCATGTGATATTTAAGCTTGTGTATCTGATTCATTTCACTGACATTATGGTCTCAAGGTGCCTCCATTTTCCTACAGATGACTCATTTATCCTTAGTACTCCTTTGTGTATAAATGCCACACTTTCTTTTTCCATTCATCTGTTGATGGACATACAGGCTGCTTCCAAGCCTTGGCTATTATGTTGTACTGCCATAAACATTGGTATGGGTGTACTGTATGACTATAATAATGTTGCCTTTAACTCTTTTGGGAGTATGCCTAGAAGGGGAATAGCTGCCTCAATGGAATTATTTTTAGTTTTTTGAGGAGTCTCCATTCCGATTTCCATAATGGTTGTGTTAGCTTACGTTTCCACCTACAAGGTATAGGGGTTCCTTTTTCTCCCACAGCCTCTTCAGCATTCATTATTATTTAATTTCTTGATGGTAGCTATTCTTTCTGTAGTAAGATGGAATCTCAGTGTTGTTTTAATTTGCATTTTTTTCTAATGGCCAAAGATACTGAATATGTTTTCATGACTTCTTCTGAGAAGTGTCATCCATTTCAGTTGCCCATTGTTTTCATTGGGTCTTTTATTTGGGGGGGGGTGTCTAATTTTTGAGTTCCTTATATATCTTAAATATTACTCTGTCCGAGGAATAGCTGGCAGAGGTTTTTTTCACTTCGTATCTTCACTGTCTTGGTTGTTTCCTTTGCTGTGCAGAATCTTTAATTTGATATAAAACTGTGGATTCTTGATGTTATTTCTTGTGCAGCTGGGGTTCTATTCAGAAGTACTTGCCTATGCCTCTGTCTTCCAAGAGTTTTATCTATTTTATCTTCTAGCAAAAAATATTTCTGTTTTAACACTTTTTTTTTTGGTACTGGGAATCGAACTCAGAACCTCGGGCTTGTGAGGCAGGCGGAGTGCCACTGAGCCAGATCCCCAGCCCAACATTTTTGCTTTGCTTTTAACAGGTTCCCACTGGCTTGAACCACTGGTGGCACATGCATGACTGTACCATCAGGCTGGTTGTACCACTGGGGGTTCAAGCCACCTGGCAGCCAGACATGAATTACTGTCCCATCATGAATCTGTTTTGATTTTAGTTTATTATATTGTGAGAAATACGGGCCTAGATTCATGCCCTGAATATGGACAGCTGGTTTTTCCCAGCACCATTTGTTAAAGAAGCTATCTTTCCCCCAGCGTGTGTTAAAGATAGCCGAATGTGCCTGGGATTGCTTCTGGATGCTGGGTTTGTGTTTTTTGGATCCTGTATTCTGTTCCCCTGATCCACATGTTTCTATGCCAGTACCATGCTCTTTTTTTTTTTTTTTTATCACTGTAGCTTTGTAATACAACTTGAAGTTCAGGTTTGCTTTTGCTATTCTGGATCTCTTACAGTTTTATATAAATTTTAGAATTGTTTTGTCAAGTACTATGAGGAATGTTATTGGTATTTTGATTGAGACCAAATTAAATCCGTACATCAGTTTTGAGATGATGGCTATTTTGACAATATTGGCTCTAGATCTATCCAGAAATGGGACATCTTTTCATTTTTGGAGTCCTCTTCAGGTCCTTTTTCAGAGTACTGTAGTGTTTGTTCTAGATGTCTTTTACTTCCTTGGTTACGTTCATTCTTAAGTACAGTACCGTCTCAGTTCATGAATGCTTCTGTTTGTAAACAGAAGCATTCACGTATGGTTTGCATACAAAACCCCCCTCGCCAAAATTTTGCTTCCGTTCGCAAACTCTGCATCAGATGACAAACATGACCACAGCCATCTTCCTAAAAATCGTAAACAAATTAAGTTCATAAACCGAGATACCACTGTATTTAATTTTTCTTGATGCTATTGTGAATGATACTGATTTTCTAACTTCTCTCAGCGGGTTCATTATTGGTGTACAGACACACTATTGATTTTTATGTGCTGATTTTGTGTCTTGCTGTACTACTCAATTTGGATATCAATCCTCAGAGTCTTTTGGTAGAAATTTTTTGGATCTTCTATGTAGAGGATCATGTCATCATAAATAGTGATAATTTGACTGCTTCCTTTCCTGTTTATATCCCTTTTGTTTATTTTTCTTGCTGGATTGCTCTGGCTAATGTTTCAAGTACCATATTGAACAGGAGTGGTGATAGTGTTTATTCTTGTCTTGTTCTTGATTTTAGAGGGAAAGTATCACTTTTCTCCCATTCAATACAATATTGGCAATAAGTTTATTATATATGATTTTTATCAATTTGAGGAAAGGTCCTTCTGTACTGGTTTTCTTCAGGGCTTTTAATATGAATGGATGATGCATTTTGTTAGCTTTTTTCTGAGTCACTTGAGGTGATCCTGTGATTTTTGCCTTAGCTTCTGTTTATGTGGTATATTTATCCATTTGTTTATGTGAAACCATCCTTAATCCCTGGGGCAAAACCTGCTTGCTCATGATACATGATCTTTTTGATGATTTGTTGCATTCTGTTGCCAGAAACATGTGGCAGATTTTTGTGTCTGTGTTCATTAAAGAGATTGGCCTGTAGTTGTCCTTTTCAGTTAGGTGCTTGTCTGGTTTTAAAAAGAGGGTACTTACTTCTGTGTTC